TAGATATAAAATCCCTGAAATAATTAGTTGCTTACAATGATATATATTATATGCTTGTTAATGGATTACTATAGAAACATAAATATTTAATTTTCTTTTCTAGACAAGCTCTTATAGTAATTGCATGTTCCTCATTCATAAAGGATTTTTTTTTCAAAAGCTCACAACAGACTTTACGCAGATACTGTTAGATGAGATGAATAACAGGGGTCACTTTAAAAATCAATAACTGCCACATAGAACCATATGTTTATAAATGAAGCAAAGCAGTGCTGAAATAAGGCAACCTATAAGTATATAAAGAAGTACAAGTATGAACTACTTTATATCTTATTGCTCAGCTATTTAATGAGCAATTTGGGAAAGAGAAAATGTTAGGGGCAAGGTATTGACAACTAATGGTGGAGCCTCAGAAAGCAATATCAGAAGTAATTCCACATTACTTGTGTATAATTTATTTTGCACTCTTCTAAGGATGGAGTGTTTCCTTGCCACAGTGCTCTAACAAAACCCTAGATAACAGCTGTAGAAACTATGTACAAAAGGACGTTAACTTTAAAGAACAACTCCAGGATTGTAAAAGACCTGGCCCACTGCAAGTGTTAACTGCTCGTTTTTCTCTGGAGGTGAAAATAAAGAAGAAATACTCACCTGATCCTCGGTCTTGCAGTATTGACTGCTCGCCTCTCTACCTCTCCACTCCGGCTGTGGTATGTATGGCTGTGGTACCATAGACCTGTATTAAACGTGATGACGTCACAGGTACGTAGATCGCCTGAACATGGGGGGAAAAAAAGAGGCTGCAGGGTTCTAGCAGCCAGGTGGGACCAAGGATAGTGTAAATATTTCTTCTTTAATTTTGTCCTTAGAGAGAAACAAGTAGTTACCGTTGCAGTGCGAGGGCATAGGACATCTTGTGTAATGTCTCATAAGGGGAAGTGTTTCCAAGAGCAACTTATAAGATTGTATTTTTCCTTCTCTTTCTGCACTGGAAACGTGGAAGGGAGAACGTTTACTATAACCAACAAAAAGAGTCCTTTGTACATATCCTATACAGGATTTATGGTCTTTATAAGATTATAGTCTCGGCACGTACAACCTGGTGGGAATTTATTTAAAATAACTGACACAATGAAAATGTCAGTTGTGCAATTACTTCTGTATTCTCTTATTATTTTCTCTCCCCTAAAAATATATTTCATTTCCTTTTATGTTCCTGACAGGATGAAAAGAAACAGTTGATGACCACAAATGTTTGGCTGAGACAGGTAATATAATTTATGCCTCTTGACCTTTACAGTATAGTTACATATACAGTATATTACTGTTCTACTGCAGCCAGCGGATCTGGATTAGTTTTATTAAATCTACATAGGGAGTATATACATTCTTAGCAGGGGGGTATTTTGGGGAAATTTGAAATCAAATAACTTTCAATACTCACCTATGAAACTGTTAGATACATTCAGTATAATTATTAGTATATTCACTACATGAAAACACAAAATCAACTTTCTTTTAGCATCTGTATTCTAGCATTCACAAAGGGTTTGCCGTCGGTAAACATCATGTTAAAATTTCTCAGTGTGGCAAATAATTATTTGATCCCCTGCAGATTTTGAAAGTTTGCCCACTTACAGAGAAATGAAAGGTCTATAATTGTTTATCATAGGTGTCTTTTAAATGATAGAGACAGAATATCAACCAAAAATCCAGAAAAAAACTGATTATACAAATGTTATAAATGGAGTTGCAGTTCAGTGAGTAAAATAAGTATTTGATTCCCAAGCAAAACATGACTTAGTACTTGGTGGTGAAACACTTGTTGGCAAGCTGTCACAATCGAGTAAAAACTCAGATGGTGGATAGCAGCTGTTTAGGCCTTGTAAAAGGATGTGAAGGTGGTTCAGTCAAAGGTTCCACTATTACACTCTATATGGGGGAAGAGTGAGCGTGAGAACCCATAAGCATCATATACCGCCTTAACCCAGGAAATACAATGGACCAACTGTATCCACTGAATACCACCGGGTGTCCCCAAATTACAAGGGGGGATGAAAGGGTACAGCAAGCTAATAGATGCAATACTGTTAGGTTTTGGTTTGAGTAGACAGGAGCACACAATGTATATAGTGGTTCAGTATAGCTAGGTGTGTGTATCCAGGCAGCAACAGCAGATCAGTATAGTTATTCAGGTACAATTAGTTTAGATACTTATAGCTGTAGTTATAGCAGTATTGACACTATAGGTAATGGAACAGGTACAGTGCATCCAAACATAAAAGATCCCAGCAGTACACACACATAGAACGGCAGAATATGCCTAGTAATTGTAGAGAGCAGACCTCAGGTTGGTTATAAGCAACAGTGACACTTCAGATATAGTGAGGCTCATATATGCACAAAAGTCTTGCAAAATAAGCACAACCTCCAGGAAAAGACTGTGATTAGGACAGCCTACAGTAACCTGAGGTACATGCAGTTTCTTAGGGTTGCATGTGGGCTGCCAAGTCCAGGGATGTGGAGGTACAGGTCTGGAACTGGTGGTGGAACGCCTGTACAGTAGAGCACTGCTCGAGCAACTCCAACAAGAGAACGCAGAGCAAGTGAACTGATTGCCGTTTTAAGGGGAAGTGACGTCCCCTAGGGGAGGAGCCGGCCGCAGCCGTCCTCCCCTATGTGTCGATATCAGCGGCCGCCGTGTGAGACGGGAGAGCCGTTCCCTGCCACCAGAGGATCGCAAGGCAGGTCTGTGACACAAGCACAGAGGTAAGATGTTTCTTGTAGTTGGTTACCAGGTTTGCACACACCTCGGGAGGGATTTTGGTCCACTCTTCTTTACAGATCTTTTCTAAATCCTTAAGGTTTCTTGGCTGTCGCTTGGCAACTCAAAATTTCAGCTCCCTCCATACATTTTCTATAAGAATACAGTCTGGAGACTGGTTAGGCCACTCCATGATCTTAATGTGCTTCTTCTTGCGCCACTGCTTTGTTGTCTTGGCGGTATGTTTTGGGTCATTGTCATGCTGAAAGACCCATCCACAACCCATCTTCAGTGTTCTAGCTGAGGGAAGGAGGTTCTCATCCAAGATTTTACAATACATGGCTCTGTCCATTGGCCCCTCAATGCGGCAAAGTCGGCCTGTACCTTTAGCAGAGAAACAGCCCCAAAGCATAATGTTTCCACCTCCGTGCTTGACTGTAGGGATGGTGTTCTTAGGGTCATAGTCAGCATTTTCCTTCCTCCAAACAAGGCGAGTCGAGTTAATGCCAAAGAGCTCAATTTTGGTCTCATCTGACCGCTGCACTTTTTCACAATCCCTTTCGGAATCATTGAGATGTTCATTGGCTCATTGGCTCCTTGCTGATCTCCCTCCGGGCTGTGAATGCAGCGCTGAATACTGAAAAATGGCCTGGATGGAAAGGGGGTATAACACTGCGGACTTCAAGTGGTTAAAGTGACAGGACTAATCTGTGTACCACATAGCCAGTCCGTGGGAGCCAGAATTATTGTTGGTTGGTAGGGGGTCAAATACTTATTTTACTCACTGAACTGCAACTCCATTTATAACATTTGTATCATCTGTTTTTTTCTGGATTTTTGGTTGATATTCTGTCTCTATCATTTAAAATACACCTATGCTAAAAATTATAGACCTTTCATTGCTGTAAGTAGGCAAACGTACAAAATCTGCAGGGGATCAAATAATGATTTGCCTCACTGTATAGTACTATTAGGCACTGAGCAAAGCATCCAAAATAATGAAAATGTAAAGAATTAAATTTTAAAGAGGACCCACACAAAAAAAATCTTTCAGTGCACTTAGGCTTACTGCTATAATACCCTTGGCACACTAAGTACAGGCCAACTGTGGGGTACAACTTCCAAGAAGAACTGTGGTGAGACTAGGAACGTTCAAATATTTAAATATTTTAACAAGCAATAAATACACTTTAGAACAAACCCTCATTGTTCTCTGTAGCTGCAGGCACTTAAGAGCACTTCCTCTGTAAAGAAAAGTAAAGTCATTCAACTCAGTCCTCAGCACTCTCCTCTTTCTGTTGACCTGCTCTGCATTTACATTAGATATTAGAAGGTCGGCAGATTTCCAAGTCACTGCTGTAAGGGAAAGGTCAAAACCAGCTACTGAGAAAAAATAAAAATGTTTTTGCTACAAACTTTTTGTTATCATTACTGTGTGAACCTCTGAGTACTTCCCCAATCACGTGACCATCTATATAGAGACTGTATGTCCCATGGCTCCTTCTCTGCTGCTTGTACAATGCATCAGAGATGCACAATTCCTATTGTCCAACACACAGGACATGAAGTTCCGTGCATGTGGGTTTTTTCTACATTTAGCCCTGCTGCGGGCAAGCAGGGCTACATGTAGGGTAAGGGAGCCACCGCTCATTTTGTACAGCCACCCAGATCACTTATAGCAGCCTGCTTGTTAGCCCCTATGTGATAGCCATAAAGTTAAGTGGGGAAAAAAAAGTGATAAAAAAGTAAAAAAAATACAATAAATTAAAAATTAAAACCAACCCTGTCGCCCCGCCATCAGCATGCGAATGGGCATTGTGTGTGTGTACACTAAGTGCTGGCCTATTCCACTGTGTGCCATATTGTGGTAGCTGGGCACACATTAAAGGATAAGCTCCCTATCCCAAGTAATTTGGGAAAATTGAATTATCATCTCAAACCTGGCCCCTCTTCCCCTCCATACTTACCTTTTGGTGAATAGTCCTTCCCCTCCTTCACTCACCTGACCACGCTGGCCCATGAGAAGTGCTTCTTAGCACAGTTTCCACACCCCTGGTGCATGCATGCCCCATTCTCTGATTCGGAGAGGTCACATAAGGTGGTTACACTGGGCCAGCAATCCAGCAAACAAATGAGTTAGAATGCTTGCCACGGTTCGACAACACACAAAATGACTTAAAGTAGCATGCAAAAAATGGTGCCTGGGATGCAGATCACTGAAAACACAGGAAGTAGGTATCTGTGCATTACCGGGGACGCACTAGAGGCGCAGAATCTAAGAAGGGCCTGGTCTTCGACAGAGCCTCTATTTCTGAGGATGATTGGCTGCTTGACACCTTCCAGGCTCAGGATACCGAAGCAGGAGTGAAGCCTGCATACACAATGCAGGTCAGGAGCACAGAATATGTAGTACACTAAGGAAGAAGTTCATGCATAAATGTAATAGGAGCGCTGGTAAATAGCAGAGGGCCTGTAAAGGATGGCTGGCAGGACACTCAGGAGGAGCAGGTAGAAAATACAAACAGCCACAAGAGTGGAGCTGAGACTTACAAGTAATTACAGGTGTTAGAGTCCACTGAAGCTGGAGAAACAATCCACTTGCTGGGAGTGCAGGTTCACAGAAAGCAGCAATGTGAGTAAGTAAGATTTGCAGGGATCTCAGGAACAAGTAAAAAATGACATACAGGGTCCGGCTTGTAGTGAGAAGACACGTTGCTCGAATGCCAAGCAACAAGTGACCTGAACTTTTAACAGAGAGGTTTAGAGCGGATTGGCAGGAAGCCAAGCAGTTCGGACAGGAGGCAAAATCCGGCGCCGGATCATCACACAGGGAAGTGTGACACTTCTACAAATAGTTTTAATGTTCATGGATTGGATACCAAAGACCAAAGTTTCTTCCACAGCTGGTGCCTACCCTCTCGGACACACAATTTCTAGATGTAAGTGGGAGTCTATCCTAATGCCTCCTACTCTCCTCCGTCAAGAGGATTTTAAGTAAAACAAAATTTGTATTTCAGAGATGTTCTTAAAAACTCAGGCTTGTCTAAGCTATAGTCTAATTTCAACAAAGCATATTAAACAATTTTGGCCAATTTTACAAATTAAACAAAATCAGAACTTGTTTTATAGCCATGTCATCCACTGAACTCACAATTCTAGCTGCACTCATTTCCCCCTGATCCACAGGCATAAATATGAATCCTTGGGTGATCCAAGCATACCCAAATAAGAGCATGGCCGATAGTTGTCCCCTGAAGTCCCACAGCTTGTAAAACCAATACCATGCACATTACTATCTTTTTAAAAAGTACATTAATTTTTTTCTATGTAAGCTCTGTTTTTTCAAGAAGAATAGGAGTAAAAACGAGTAAATGACCGATTTCTTTACACACACAAACACGCAGAGAAATTGCATGTAAACTCTTTAATATTATCACATTTTGTCATTTCCTTCCCTAGGAATGGGTAGACCTAAAGTTAAGATGGAATCCGAAGGATTATGGTGGAATTACTTACATTAGAGTGCCTTCTGAGACATTGTGGCTTCCTGACATTGTCTTGTTTGAAAAGTAAGAAGGTTTTATTTTCTATCCAAATAAAATACAGAAACAATAACTGTAACTAATATGTGGTGTATGATCTCTTGGTCTAATATCTAAGGTACTGTTCATAGAGAACCACAGTTCATTTTTACATATAGGACAGGATGACATTTCTATACTAATATTTTAATTTAAGATTAGAAAATGAAAAACACATATAAAGCAGGAAGGAAGAAGTATTTTGTGTACCCCAACATATGCAGCCATAGGAGTCTGGCTAAATAGATTACAATCTATAAATTATGTACGAACAATTCTAAAATGTCCAATATACATTTACTCATAATCTGAATCACATACACACTTTCATTTTTTCCCTTCCTGTGCGGAAGAATGACAGTTCATACACTTTCTTCTGATGTATGTAGTGGTGGTGCAGCCTTTTTCACCAGCTGCAACAAAAAAAGTAACAAGGGTCCTGGGGTGCACAGTGGTCGGTAGAAGCAGATGCTGTCAAAATTGGACCTTCCGACACAGCTTTTATAAACACTGTTCAGAGGCAAGGTAGACAGATACAAAGTAACATTGTTACTTTTGTATTTACCCTGTTTCATTCATCCGCAAATTAAAGTGATGACCTATGAGGTTAGCGGAAACAAAACCTGACAGGTAAAAAAAAAAAAGTTAACTTTTAAAAATATATATAATTTGTTCCCATTTAAACTCTTTTTAACACTAATCAGCCCAATTAGCTTCTTCCCCTTAACTATTATTTTTTTTCTAACCATTTATATGTAACCTTTTTTTCTTTTTATTTGTTTTGTTCATTATTTTTCTAGTGTCACATTAAAAAAAGCACAACATTGAAAGAAACAAATCTTTTATTTAATTTGCAATGTTTTGTACCAAAATCATAATTTAGTGTGACAAATTACAGAATAGAATATATATTTTTTACAGGGCTCAAAATTTCAGGTCCTGAGCTACTACCCAGGCTTTAAAAGATACACAGGGCCTTACACATACAGCCACAGCACAACACGCAGGGCATTACACATACAGCCACAGCACAACACACAGCATAACACAATAACACACAGGGCATTACACATACACACACACAGGGCATTACACATACAGGGCAATACACATACACACACAGGGCAATACACAAACATACACGGCACCCCATCCCATCTCTGTGTCCCCCTCAATTACCTGCTGGCAGGGGCCTGACACTTGAGTTTAAGCCAGGTCCCATGCATAGTTATTGCAGCTCAGGCTGCACAAAGGGCACCTGCAGCACAACAAGCTGCTGGGGCCCCTCCCGTGGTCTGCCAGGCCGCCCCAGGGCTTTCCCTTTATTGAGGCGTCCGCAAAGTTATGGTGTTCTATCATTCCATCGGACCCATGACTTTATTGGATCGGATTAAATGGGACAGACCACGGGGCATTACCGCAGCCATAAAACCTAACCAAATACCCTTTACATGACACACTCACCCACTGCTGTCACAACTCTATAAAAGCAAGACTGCAGTTCCCATAATCCTCCGCGTGCAGACCGGAAGTTATGCTGCCAGCAGGAAATAAGAACTGACCTTAGTAAAGATGGCTGCTGTCATGCGGCCATCTATAACATGGGAAGGTGCACGGCTGTGAGCAGCAGCATATGGGTAAGCAATCTGGGATCCCTTCAGGAGTTGGGCACTTAGTCCATGACCGAGTGCCTGACCCAATGGCTTCATTTCTACTCGCCCCCAAACAATCTTCACTCGCAAATTGCGAGGGGGCGAGTGGATATTTTGAGCCCTGCCTTTTATCTACAGTAATATTATTTAAACCGAAACACTGATAAAATTAGAAATAAAAAAATGAATTTTCTTTTTAGTTTTTGTTGGATTGGATTAAAAAAAAAAATGAATGACTGCATGACAATATCACCAAAAGAAAACCTAGTTTATTTTCTTTTATCCTAGGTAATCGTATTATAGAAGCAGAAATGTAAAAAAAAATGCTCTTGACCATAAGGGATGTACAGGTGTAGTTTGTTTGCAGAATTTGTGTTACGTTTGGTTCATTTTGTAAATTGTCACTCGAGTACATACACTTTTGCATACACCTGGAGTCTGTTGGCGTACCAGTTCTAAAGTTACTCTAAACATCACCCAGAAAGTTGTTTAGAAAGGGCTGATATTGTTTTGAATCTTTCTTATGTTACAGTGCAGATGGACGTTTTGAAGGCTCCTTGATGACAAAAGCAATAATAAGATATGATGGAACGGTGACGTGGACTCCACCAGGCAGTTATAAAAGCTCCTGTACTATGGATGTCACATATTTTCCTTTTGACCGTCAAAACTGTTCGATGAAATTTGGATCATGGACTTATGATGGCAACATGGTTGACCTCATTCTTCTTGATGCAAATGTAGATAGGAAGGACTTCTTTGATAACGGAGAATGGGACATTCTCAATGCCACGGGCCTGAAAGGAATGAGGAAAGATGGGTTGTATTCATATCCATTCATCACGTATTCTTTTGTTTTGAGACGACTTCCCCTGTTTTATACTCTTTTCCTTATAGTCCCTTGTCTGGGACTATCCTTCTTAACGGTTCTTGTTTTCTATCTGCCATCTGATGAAGGGGAGAAATTATCATTGTCAACTTCTGTACTAGTTTCCCTTACAGTGTTCCTACTTGTCATCGAAGAAATCATTCCATCTTCTTCAAAGGTAATTCCCTTGATTGGAGAATATCTTTTATTCATTATGATATTTGTTACTTTGTCAATAATAGTGACTGTATTTGTCATTAATGTCCACCACCGTTCCTCAGCAACATATCATCCAATGGCTCCCTGGGTGAAAGGCCTTTTCTTACAGAAGCTCCCAAAGTTGTTGTGCATGAAGGGGCACATTGATCGTTTTTCCTTCCTAGATTCTGAAAATACTGGACCATCAACAAAATCAAAGCCCTCTGGAAAAAGGAAACATATTCAAGCTAATGATGGAGAAAGGGTCCTGATTGCATTTTTGGAAAAGGCATCAGACTCTATAAAATATATTTCGACTCATGTCAAAAAAGAACACTTCATTAGACAAGTAAGTATGATTATACTTTTCTTTATGCGGGCTATACATACAACCACATGGTGACAATGCTGACTTTAATGGTATAGCTAAGCAACAAGTGGAATAGGTGGTTATTAACTAGTACATTAGGAAATAATTTAGGGGAAAAAAAGCAGCTGGCCTTTCATGGGACTCTTGCAGTGGGTTTGTGTCCTTCTAGCCAGACAAGGAATGCACTTCTATGTAGGGATGCATTTCGTGGTCTTCTGAGCAATACAGCAAAATCAAATGGTTTTTAGACTTGTGATGGATTGGTAATCAAGAATGTTCCCAACCTCTTTTAAAGAGACCTTGTTGACAGACCATTCATTTTAACAATACACTTCAAATTGGATTATATGAGCATTTAACATTTTTTTCAGGCCTGTTATTTACCTCTGCAAACCTATGCTGTATAGATATCAGAAGGTCCTGAGACTGCTGCTAGGCACGCCATCTTGGATGTGATGTCAGCAGTCACATCTGAGTGATACAGCAAAACATTAGTTTCGTATTTTTCATGATTCGGTTCAGAAAGTCCATTCAGTTTGGGATTCGGACGAATCTGAAATGTTCATTAATTTCAGATGTGCTTGATAATTACAAACTAATTTTCGTTTCGCAGAAAAGTGACATTAGAAAAAATTAAAAAAAAAAACATTTTTCTTTTCATTTTTGGACAGTCCACAGAAACAATATAAAAAATAAAAAAAGAAGAGTGCGGTTTTCCCCCTAATTCATATCAGACTCTTTAGGTCTGGTAGGAATTTTAGGGGGAACCCCAACACCAAAATAAAAACCCGGTGTGGGCAGTGTTCATTTTATCAACTACTATTGTAGATTTAGTCGACTAATATATGACTAAAACTAAATTGAAATTTGCTGTCAACATTAACACTGGTTTGAGGTCTCCCCTAAAATGCTTTACCAGATCCTTGATACTAGCAGCAGCCTGGCAGAGCAGGAGTGTGTGTGTGTAAGCGTGCCACACACACACTATAACAGGCCACATGGCCTCAACATGTGGAGGGTGCTTTGCTAGCGGGGAGACGACGACACCCTGGAAAAGCACCTGAGGACATGGGCCTATTCCCCACTCCCCTGGACCGGTGGTTGTGGGGGTCTGCAGACAAAGGGGTCTCATCTCA